CCAAAGAGGATGGATCTAGACTGTTCTCAGTGGTAGAAGAGGACAGGACAAGGAGTAATGGTCTCAAGTTGCAGTGGGGGAGGTTTAGGTTGGATATTAGGAAAAACTTTTTCACTAGGAGGCTGGTGAAACACTGGAATGCGTTACTCAGGGAGGTGGTGGAATCTCCTTCCTTAGAAGTTTTTAAGGTCAGGCTTGACAAAGCCCTGGTTGGGATGATTTAGTTGGGGATTGGTCCTGCTTTGAGCAGGGGGTTGGACTAGATGACCTCCTGAGGTCCCTTCCAACCCTGATATTCTATGATTCTATTACTTGTAGGCTCTGAAGTTTTACATTGTTTTGTTTTTGAGTGCAGGTATGTAACAAAAAAAAAATCTACATTTGTAAATTGCACTTTCAGGACAAAGAGATTGCACTACAGTACTAGTATGAGGTGAATTGAAAAATATTATTTCTTTTGTTTATCATTTTTACAGTGAAAATATTTGTAATAAAAATATACACTTTGATTTCAGTTACAACACGGAATACAATGGATATGAAAATGTAGAAAAACATCCAAAATATTTAATAAATTTCAATTGGTATTCTATTGTTTAACAGTGCGATTAAAACTGCGATTAATTTTTTAAATTTTGATTAATTTTTTTGAGTTAATCATGTGATTAATTGACAGCCCTAATGAAAATCCTCTTTCGCAACATTTCAGCCATTGAAAGCTCCATCGAAAATGCCCTCAACTGGGTTCACTTGAGCTCCAAATAGAGCTGCAAAGCAGGCCTGGCCTGTACTTCCCTCACTGCATATGCTGTTAGCTGTGTCTGTAGTGTAGTGTTGCTGAGAAATGCTATCTGATCTTCAGGTTTTTGTTTGCTAAATATTATATTAACTAGCATTAGCCCAGGCTGCTAGTCCATGTTATCCACCTGGCTATAGAGCACTGACGGATGCATGGCCAATAGTCTGTATGTATATATCTTTTCTCCAGGTCTTGGCTTTACCGATGCTGTTATTTGGAGGAGGGGTCTGTAGGAGGAGTCATGCTTGCAGTCTGCTCAGATATTTATGCAATCATAAATTTTCTTCCCCTTTCACTGACTGCAGCCCCACACTGGAAGTTGAGAGAATCCCCTCACAAATCTGAATGCCAGCAGGACTGTTTCAAAGGGGACACAAGTTGTAACATGCCATACAATGCAAGGATGTGTATCTTGTTCTGTAACCTATCAAGAATTATTTCTTTTTAATTTCCAGCAACCACAGGACAAGCCATAAACTATAAAAAACCAAGAGGGAACCTGACGGCTGGAACTTGCTGCTGAAAAAATGTATTAGAAAAGGTGCAGTCATTAATTTAAAAATATGGGGCTAGATTTTGCTCTCAGTTACACAGGGAGTTCAACGCAGTGTGCTTCCAAATTTTGATCCTGGAGTTTGGGCGCTTGGCGCTTCCCAGGATCAGGCACTTTCTTCAGTCACACAGCCACCTAACCGAGTGCAGAACCTGAGCCATGTCTGAGACAAAGGTACATCTCAGAATTGCCATTACATGATATAAGGAGAAGTGATACCTTTTATTTGTAGAGAAGGAGGGAGGCTTTTTAAAGCACTAAACATCCTGGTAGCTAGCTAGTGCTGTCACAAGGAAGGAGGCTATGGCTTTCTCACATTTCTACTAGCCTGGTGAGGTCCTCAAACTAGTTGCAAAATCTCCTGTTTCTCCACCCCCAGCATCTCTTCAGCACCCATATTCTTAAAGCATTTTTGCTTTTATTAATACGATCAGAGATCTCACACTGATTTGGGAGTGCTCCAAAAAAACCAGAGTAATCACAGGATTCTACTGGATCTTGTGCAACAGCCTATCCTGGCTTTTCTGGGGCTAAGAGTTTCATTACTTGTAGTCTCCTTAATGACCAGTCTTCAGCCTTCACAGATTGTTGGTTTTGGAGGATTGGGAAATAATATATTAGTAGTAAATTGGCAGCAATTCCTTAGTTGTACTGAAGTCCACCATCTGAATCCGACTGGTAGTCAAGGCAGCCTCCCTTTTCAGAAGATTAATTACAACATGAGCTGATGTGGAGATTATAACAGGCAAGAGCAACAAATGGCAACTCCCCAAAGACAAAATACAAGTAAAAGTCTGTGATTAAAAGGAACCCATTTCCTGCAGTGATCAACAGAGGGGTGAAAAGAAGAGATTGCCTTATTTTCTAAATAAATGCCCCTTACCCATTTTGGAAAGTTAAAAACTGCCGACCTGTTTATCATTGGTGTTGTGTGTCACTTACAAATCTGCTCCGTAGTTATGTAGCACAAGGTGCGGGGCGTGGGTGGGGAGAAATATTACAAGTCCCCTGGATGTTTTACAAAGGGAGAAAAGCCGGAGGGTCCTAGTCCGAGTTTTTGCCTCTTCACACTGTAAATAACTGACCCCGGGTCACGCTGCTTATCCCTTTCACCCTTTGCAGGCTGTTTCCTTGCGAAGCACAGAAATTCAGAGCCCTCTGGTTTCCATTTTTGTCCACTAGCGACCCCTACCTTTAGAGAGCGCAATAATCCTACGTGGTTTGAATTCTTTCCACATTTATTTCAGATCAAGCTGTATTGAGTATTTTCAAACCCATAGGCCACGGATCCTTTGCATGAGGGGCAGGAGAAGGAAAGCACGGCCTGTAGATCGGAAGGGAAAATAGGGTCGCACTCTGCACGTGGTGGCCTTTGGAGCTCAACACGCTTTACATGCCCCCGTCACAAAAATAAAATCTACAGAAACTAGGAACTTCACGTGCCGTATTTCTGCCCCAAACAGCATCTCCGGCTGCTCCGAACTGGTCACTGCAATGCATGGAGAAGAGCACGGCGCAATGCAGACACCCCCACGCCTGCCCTCCCCCCCCCCCCCCCCCCCGCAGCTCCCCACAGGGTCCTAGTCACGGGGGGCGGGTTTTTTTCTTAAATTAAACGTATCAACATTCCATCGATCACCGCCCCTCCCCCCAGCGTGGTCGGGGGGGGGGGCGGGGGGAGCTCCGCCCTCTGCAATGTATCAATGTCCCATCCCCTCCCCCCCGCCTTCCCCGTTGGGTGAAATCCAATCACCGTCCGCCCTCCCCGCCCCTGTGGATACGGCGAAGCGTCACGGACTTGCTATTGTTATGCAAATAAAAGCTGCCTAAAAGGAGCTGCCCGGGGTACCCTGCCCTCTAAAGACGCCCAGGGACGTGGCTGCGGGGGGATTCGCCTGGGGGAGCGCTCAGGAAAAGGGGGGATCCGCTGCCCGACGAGAGCCCCTCTCCGGGACAGGCACAGCAGCTGCCGCATCTCCCCCTGGCCGCGGGCTCAACACCAGAGACTCCAAGCGCCGCCTCCGCCGCTGCGAGGGACCGAGCAAGGCTCCCCCTCCGGCCGCCGGGCTGCACCTGGATGCGCCGCCGGGGCGGGTAGCCGCGGCGGCGGCAGCAGCGGGGCGCTCGCCGGCCGCCCGCCTCGCGCAGCCTGGGAGCCGCACGGAAGTCGCTGGGCCGGGCGCGGGGGGCCGCGCAGCCGCACCGCGGGGAAGCGTGGTGCCCAGGGGGCCCCTTAGCCGGGCCCGATCCGATCCGCCAGCCCCCGGGCTGCCCCGCGCCCCGGCCCCCGCCGCCGCCGCCGCCGCGCTCGGATCTCCGCGGGCTTCCATGAGCATCCGCGCCCGGGGGCCGCGCGCTCAGCCGCAGGGTGCACCGAGCCCCCGCCCCTAGCTTCGGGCTCGCCGAGCGCCCCGGGCGAGCGGGGCGAGGCGGCGCGGAGACCTGCGCCCGCCCGGCAGCGCTGCGCCCGGATCCCGCTGCCCGGCCGCGGCCATGAGCCAGACGGAGCTGTCCACCTGCTCGGCCCCGCAGAGCCAGCGCATCTTCCAGGAGGCGGTGCGCAAGGGCAACACCAAGGAGCTGCAGTCGCTGCTGCAGAACATGACGAACTGCGAGTTCAACGTGAACTCGTTCGGGCCCGAGGGGCAGACGGCCCTGCACCAGTCCGTCATCGACGGCAACCTGGAGCTCGTCAAGCTGCTGGTCAAGTTCGGCGCCGACATCCGCCTGGCCAACCGCGACGGCTGGAGCGCGCTGCACATCGCCGCCTTCGGGGGCCACCAGGACATCGTGCTCTACCTGATCACCAAGGCCAAGTACTCCGCGGGCAGCCGGTGACGCCGCGGCCGCCGGGCCGGGGCCGGGGCGCAGCGGGCCGGGGCCGGGCCGGGGCTCCCCGTGGCGGGGAGCGGCGCGCTCTGCAGGACCGGCTGGGCGGGCGGCTGGAGCCCCCCGGGGCGGGGACAGGGGCCGTGTCTGCTCGGGCCGCTCTGGGAGCGGGCAACCCCGGGACATCCCCGCCCCGCACGCACCCGGCTCCCGCCCGGGCTGCCTCCTGCCCCTGTCCCGCGCCGGGCGCCCTGCGGACTCCAGCCCCGGGCGCCGGAGGGGCCGCCCTGGGCCAGCGCGCTGCGCCCCGCGGGCTGCTCCGGGTGAGGCAGGCAGGGCAGGACCCGGCCCTCCAGGAGATGGGGGACCTCTCCGAGGGGCGGGCTGGGCCCTTCCTCCCCCCGGCTGCCTAGCCCGGGACCACGGTGCCTTCCTAAATCGCGCCCGCCCGCTGCCCCGAGCTGCGGGCGCCCCCCGGGAGGTTAGCCGGCCGCCTGTGGGCTGGGGGGCCGCGGCCCGGGAGCCGTGACTGACCCGCCTCGGGGCGGGCGAAGCAGCCGCATCGCCGGACCCAGGGGAGAGGTGGGGCTTGGGTGGATTGTTTATTTTTGTTTAAATGACAAAGCTGCTCGGACTCCATGTTTTTTGCAAAGAAATCTGGGGGCCCACAAAGATTTTACTGAAAAACCATTTAACTGCTTTCCAAGGGGTTTTGTCTGCCAAGGGTTTTTTCTCCTACTGTAATTTGTCTTCGGTCTCGGTTGGTTTGGGGGGTGTTTGGTTTTTTTGGTTTTTTTTTGGTTTTTTTTTGCCATCTACCTCGGCTGCGCTCACAGTATTCACGGTTTCAGGCAGAGATCTGGTCAGATGCTTTAACGTGCGCTCGCCTCCCGCTCCCGGGACCCCCCAGCTGATGCGTTTGGTGGCGTGTCAGTCCCGTGGAAAGCGCGCTGGCTCCGAAGTGAATCCATTCCGGCGTTTTTATCCGCTCACGATGCGATCTGCGGAACGCCCGTCGGTGCTCGGCCTTCGCGTTCTGTGGCCGGGCAAGCCCCGCAGCTCGGCGCGAGCGGAGGCTCTCGGGCGCCCCACGCGCGGGGCGGGTGGCCGAGCTGAACTCCCGCCCCCCCGGCAGCCCGCTCCGCTTCCTGCGGCTCCGCTTCCTGCGGCTCCGCTCCGCAGCCCGGCAGACACGTCCCCCGCCGCCCGCCGCCGCCTCCCGCCTGGAGCGTGGGACCCGGCCCGGGCCTGCTCGTGAACCCACCCCGCGCGCGGCGCTCGCGGCAGGGGCGCGCGACCCGTCCCGGGCGGCGAAACGAGGGACGTGAAACGGACTCGACTCTCCGGGCGGAGGAATTGCTTTTGCACAGGAAAAGAGCGTGAGCGCCCCCTGCAGTCTAGGAGGAAAGTTTCAAGGACAACCCGAAAACTACTGAGAAATAGTTTGGGATTTTTTCTTTTTCTAACTTTGGTGAAACTTGGCGAACACTTCTCAATGCAGAATGATTCCATCTGACTTCATATAAATGAAAGGGCGGAAGAGGAACCCATCTTAACCTGCATTTGGAAGTGACTGCACATGGAATTGCAATGCTGCTTTTTGTTGCCATGGCACAATAACATCCATTTAAAAAAAAATGCAGAAAATTTCAGAAGTCTCCTTTCCACGGTTGGCCTTTTATCCCTCTAGGTTTGTCTGCACTAAACCCCTTACCACTGCCATCTCCTTGCTGTCCTCTCGTATTCCCCTTTTCCAAACCATTACAATTAAAAAAATAGTTATCTACTGTTTTGTTGTTGTTGTTGTTATAACTATTTATCATATATGTATATATTTGTGGGTGACGTTTGTGTGCCTGGTTTTGTCTGAAGCTATTTGTGAATGGTTCAAAGTACGGTTTGGAAAATATGCATTTTTTCTAGTCTTAAAACTAAACTTGAGTCTGCCATGGGTGTTTTTTTTTCATTGCACTGAATATTCTGCTTTGTCTATGATGGTTTCACCTGCAGTTTTTTCTCTCTTAAACAATTTATATGATTAAAAAGTTCCAGATTTAAAAAAAAGAAGCCCTTTCGAAAGTGTCTATTGTTAATGCTGTAATTTAAAAGGAACTTCTTAGTTTGCAAACTTTCTCTGTGAGCACTGAAGATGGTTGGTGCTTCTCTGTTGGGGGGGGACAATATCTTTTCTAATGAGGTTTTATTACAGTTACCAGACGGTTGCACATTTTTTTAAACTAATGGATTTGCCACCATGACGTGTCATAACATTTATGGCATACTATTAAAACCATCGTGTATTTCAAAGCCAAGTTCTAGATTGATTTTTTAAAAGAAATCTTGGTTATAAACCCAATGCTAAAGGGAGTTCTGTCCAGTGTTGTAAAGACAACATAATGTAACCCATATTTATATTTTTATAAAATAACTGTTAAGACTGTGAATCTCTTGTGTGAATTGCTAAGTGAGTTTAAGAAAAGTATTGTTCCTCTTCGGCTTCTTGGAGCTTTAGGCATGATTTGAATTCGAAAATTGTACATTGGGGAAGGGGGTTTGCTCTGGAATTGTGCGTTGATGTATTTTTGCATCACTTTTTTTTTAAATTTATTTTACTGAAAAGCTGCTGCCCTTCCTAGTCCCTATAGTTTCAATTTTCTATGCAACCCCGCAAACCCCAGAGATATATATATATATATATATTTTGTTATCCTGAGAAATAAAAGGGATGCTGATTTATTCAAATTTAAATGAGGTTTTTTTTCCCCCCTCTTGTTTGGCTCATAGTGCTGCTGACCCTTCATGCCAAAATGGGGAGTAGAAGAAAAAAGACAGGTTGGGGGAGGCTCTTTTGTGCATGACTGGTCACCTTTTGGCAGTCATCTTTTTTGTTGTTGTTGTTTTTTGTCAGAAGACTATATTGATAATGTCGGTGAAGGAAGCAGACATTGACGCTGATGCACAGATTGCTCCAGAAAGGAGTTTTTCTGTAGATTTTTCTCTAGATGCGAATACCTTTTTTAATTATGTTAATTAATGTTAAGAATTTTTAGGCTTATATTGAAGCTGTATGTGGGTCACTATATGATCATTTCTAACTGGATAAAGTCTGTACAGTACAGCATATTCCGGAGTGTCTGACATAGACTTGTAGCCCCAGAGTGAGAAATTTATAAATAAATTTTTCATTTTCTTTTTATAAAAAAAAATGTGGCTTTTTGGTTTGTTCTTTCCCACACGTACATCAGTGAAGTGACAGTCTTGGTAGTGACAACTCCCCATGTGCCTGGGACAAGAAAGCAGTTAGCTACATTGCAAAGGCATTGCTCCTGTCCAGTGTTGAAAACGTTGATCAGAAGCTTGTGTTGTACACTGCCTTTCATCCAAGTGTCCTTGAATGTATTTGAAAACGCGGAACATGGAAAGCCAATGCATCTGTTGAACTCTGGAGTAAATAAAGATTTGTGAAGCATTTCCAAGCAATAGGGAGTAGAATAAATCTCAGGCTTGTAAATGCTACAGGATTGTACTCTCATTTTCTGACAGTGAACTAGTTAGTGTCTCTCTCTCTCTCTTTTAATCACATGTTGCATTTACCTCTGTGCTAATTATTCCTTGAATATGCTGGTTTAGATCAGGATGATGAGCAAATACTATCTTCCTCTAGCCATGGCTTCAATACAATTATATCCCCTAGATTTGAAATCCCATGTCTAAGTTATTAAACTGCTGTCTCCATTCATTTGTATAGAAAAATTAAATATAGCAGCCTTCTTGCGTCGAACTAACTCCAGAGGTGTCATTCAGAGGGTTGCAAGGCATTGTCATCGTTCAATCCCAGCATCTAGGTTCTGATCCTGTGAAGTGTTGGGCATCCTTCGCTCCACTGTGAAGTCTATGGGAGCACCTCCTGGATCAGGCTAATGGGCATGTAGATATTCCCCATCACACACCCAGCACATTATTTCGTAAACCCCATTGTCCCTGAGCCACGCAGGCTGATGAGGGTGCTTTAGGTTACACTTTAAGTTGCTGGGTTTGGGAGTTGAAGTCACTTCCTGAGTGGAAAAAGAAAAGGAGTACTTGTGGCACCTTAGAGACTAACCAATTTATTTGAGCATGAGCTTTCGTGAGCTACTGATGAAGTGAGCTGTAGCTCACGAAAGCTCATGCTCAAATAAATTGGTTAGTCTCTAAGGTGCCACAAGTACTCCTTTTCTTTTTGCGAATACAGACTAACACGGCTGTTACTCTGATTCCTGAGTGGAGTGTTTCAGTTTAATGTGCTGAAAATAAAGTTAAATGGAAAAACCCAAGCTCTGTGGCAATGTGTGAGAGGTGTAAGCTGCCCTGCCCAGCCCCGCTGGCCTTGTAGGTGCTCAGCATTCTGCAGGAGGCTCCTCTGCTGCTGTGTGGCAAGATCTCCTCATGCACACTTCTAGATAAAGACTCTTGTTACTGGAACTGTGGGCCCGAGCTTACACCCCTTGAAGTCAGTGGATGTTTTGTTGTTGATTTCAATGGGAGCAGGATCGGGCCATACATCATGCAAAGCTTAGGACCCTAGTCTGAACATTCCCAAGGGCTGGTGGAGATTAGCTCCAGGTTTGGGGTTGCCCCATCTTTCTATAAATGCCCAATCCTGCATCCATGGATATCCACAGGAGTTTTGCTGTTGGCTTATATGGATGCTGGATCGAGCCCCAGGCTAACAATTTTGGACCCTGCACATAGGCTGGTGAGAGAGCACTTCCTGATGTGCATTACCAGAGCCCTGAGCATGGTTTGCCAAAATGTGAATACACAAGCATATATAACCCTAGCAAGCTGACTGCCCAGCTGCTCTGGGAAACATTCAGCATTGTCTGGATCACATCTGTGTGATACCAGCCTGGGTGCAGTACTGGTGTGATACTAGCATGGGCTGATATGCCTTATGAAGTAAGACCCTGTACGTTTTATTTAGAAACATATTTCAGTTAAATGCCAGGAAGGGGCAGAAACTGCCCAGCTCTCCCTAGAATGCTGCCAATCCCTTGACTACAGCAAGCAATGATTTTTATTTTGAAAGCTGCATAAAACTAATTGCAGCCCAGGCTGCAGCCTGGAGCAAACACTTCTGAACCCCTGAAAAGGGGTCAGCCCCTTAACTCCACTGCTTCACTCCCAGTGGGTTCCCACAGGCTGTGATGGTGTGAGGTTGGGCCCACACTTGGAAGGGTCTTCCCTGGGCAGGAGGAGTGTAGAGAGTAGCATTCTTTTGACTTCAGAGTTGCCCAAAGGCCCAGCACATGGAGGAGGCAAGATCCCACTCTGCGCTTGCTGTCCACTCGAGCTTGGCTGAGGCAGTGTTCGCAAGGAAGCTGATTGCAGGTTTGGCTGAGTCAGGACCAGGCCTTTGCTTTTGGAGCATTTTTCATGATAATTTTGCTGGCACTGAAAATGCCTAATTACAAACCTCACAACAGTTAGAGGAGGAAAAATAGCTGTGTCCACAAGTAATTCATTTCCTCCAGAGCTTCCTACCCTAATGGAGCTTGTTCTGGCAATGGCTCCTGCATGGCTCCTGCATGGGTGTTGGCTCCTGAGCTATTGGGAAACTGAGCTATGCTGAAGAGTAGCATCACAAACAGCCTGCAACAGCCTCAGGAGCGGCCGGTGAGGTGGGCATGCAGTTGTGACTTAGCAGTTGCTGCTTTTGGCTGCTGTTTACACACAGGCTGCTTGCAGCTTGTGTATGGCTGGGGTGGAAGAGCAGCACATTAATAATCCCTCCATTTTTATCAGGAAAAAACCTTCCCAAGCCACCAGTCCTAACATTTTGTCTCAGTGCATTTGTATTGCCCAGGGCTCTGAGCAGCAGTCAGGAGTGGGTGGGAGGCCAATTCGGTGGGGTTAGTGCTTCGGGGTGGCAATGGGAGGGTGAGCATGTGGGAGGCAGCAGCATGTGGGAGGCTCTTGTGAGGCCTAGCTTAGGAGTTCCAGGACAGAGCCTTCTCCAGCTCCAGCCTTCTAGGGGCAAAATAGTAAAGAATCCACAGCTCTGGGTTAGTGTGCAGGAGAGGGAGGTGGCGTGTGACATCTGGGGGCAGCTGGTGACCCCTTCTGGCCTTGAACTCTATGGCTCTGACCTGCGTCCCAGCTTCATTTTGAAACGTTAACGAATCCAAACCCATGGGAGCCACTGTCACTACAGCAGATGCATCCATGGGAACAGGCCGTCAGCCGCTCCAGCACAGCGCTCCCATTGAGTTCACAGAGAGCTCCAGGTGCACGGCGCTTGCCGAACTGGCTTCTGCCTGAGGTCTTACATGCTCCTGTTTGTGGGAGAGAGCCAGAGAGCTC